CTCACGTACGGCTCACTTTGTTCATCGAACCTCCAGCTGGGCTGTACATGCAAAGGGGGATGCAAGCTGAATGGAGTCCAGCGCCGAGAGTCAGATATCGTTCTTCTCGAACCGCTACCGATGCCAACCCTCGTCTTCGTAGCATGCAAGTACTATGGGGGCGGGAGGGCAACTAGGCTTGGGGAGAGGTTGCCCTAACGTATAAATAGTACTTGCATGCTACGAAGACGAGGGTTGGCATCGGTAGCGGTTCGAGAAGAACGATATCTGACTCTCGGCGCTGGACTCCATTCAGCTTGCATCCCCCTTTGCATGTACAGCCCAGCTGGAGGTTCGATGGACAAAGTGAGCCGTACGTGAGGGTAATTATTGTGACGGGTAATGGTACCCCTCATATGGCTGGGGAATTGCTGTAGACTGCGATGTCTCTCGTGGAAGTAATTGATAACATTTTGGGAGGGAGAGACGCACAGAACCAATGTTGATGAAACCAAAGTGGTGCGGGCACTTGCCACAAGACCCAACTATCTTATTACCTCTGGACACTCCCATTTGATGAGGGACCGACCCCTCGCTTTACTACCGTCCTCTGCCACCCTGCCAAACAATTCGTGCGTGGTAGAGCAAGATAGCGTCCTATCGGGAACGACGAAAGGCGATGGGAGAGCAAATCTTCGGAAAGGAGCAGGGTCCGGATCAGGATAATGTTAGAGGGAGTTCCAACTACAACGGCCAAGCGTCGCAACAGGAATCGGAAACGCAGGAGAAAGATGACAGCGAACCATCAGCTGCTGAGGCAGCAGAAGATGATCCCTATCAGTGCTTCGCGCCGGCGGCGGCGGGGGGGGGCAACGAGTCGGGAGGCGGCTACGCGGTGACGGCTGCGGTTGTTCCGGCCGGATCCGGGAGAGGCGAGGAAGAAGAAGGCCGGCGGTGGCACGATCTCGTTTCGGTGACTTATTTCGACCATCTGCACGTGTGCTATAAGGATGGTGTTACATTGTCTGGGGTTTGTTTGATGGGGTATGGTTTTTCATGCCCCGTGTCGATGGAGGTTTGGCTGCCAAAACAGAACCACCCAACCAGCACAAACCTCTGAGGTGTCGCAACGCGATTCTACTACCTTCACACGACTTCTCTACAATACCTCTACTCATTAGTACCACGAGGGGGATCAGAGGCCCTAGACAGTTGCCGATGGTGGGCCTGCCAAAGGCAAGCGCCAAACTATCAGAAACATCCTGGTAGGCGGGAAAGTGATACAACCGACTCGCCCTAAGAACAAAACATTAAGGAAGGGTGTGTCGCCGTGTCGCCTGTATGAGCTTGCTCTGTGCGAAGGCGCACCACTTCTGGAAAAATGTCTCAGTCACCTCGACACCGAAAGACCACCGACGGGGTCGCCGCGAAAGGAGTCGTTGGATAAGTTTAGAGCGTCCAGGTGCGGACGTTGTAGCCAACGTATTTGAGGTGCAGATGGATTGATCACAAGAACGTATGATTACGGTCCTGAAACAGAGCTCGTTAACTGACACAGCCGCTCTCCGTTTCCATTCCCGTTTCCTGGTGTGGCAGCCGGTGTGCGTCGACTTGTCCCCGCTAGAAGACATGGCGGGGTGTGCGTGGCCCATCGACGAGTGAGGTGGAGGGAAGGATCCGAGTAACGCCAGTGTTCTTGAACGGCCACATGAAATGGTATCCACTTCGTGTTGACAGGTGCAACCTTCTTTGACATTTGGGGGCTGGATCACACTTTTTTGTGTGGAGATGTTTACCTCTGTTGTATTGGCAAATATAGGTATGTCACCCTGAAGGAATGTAGGGGTATCAACAGCGGCAGTTCAGTTGTTGACATGTTTGTGAGGGTTGCCGCCTGTGGTATGTACCGCACCATTTGGTGCCAACCGTCTCATTTTGTTCTGGTGCACGCGGAAGATCAGACGCGGATTGAGATGCTTTCAAGACTTTAGGCGGTGCATTTTGCCAGGCCACGATACAATGTTGTAATGTAGATGGCAGTAAGTATCTATTGGGCGCGGTAGGCGGGGTTGAAGAAGTTAAGGATAAACAAAACTCGTGAGGGTGCCGACAAGGTTCGGAATTCACACCAACAAGGAGACCTAAACCATCTACTGCTGTACTATCTGTGAAGACCTAGGCGCGCGATGTTTGAATCCTTATTTCTTGTGGCGTAGAAGGCGTCGCGCGCATTCTAAACTCCCATGCACCTGGAATGAGGCGGTGCTGTGCGAATCAGGGTTGTGGTACACGTACAGTACTGATGTAGGATTGAAGCACCCAACACTGCTGAGGACCTTCTCATGTTTAGCGACGCTCGCTTATTGTTTCCGATGCTCAACGACGTGGGCTTCTACCCGAGGATGCGTCTTGAACGAAAATTTACGTCGCAAAGAACATCACTTTGAATTGTTTCAAGGCTCACGTTCTGCCACACACACACACACACACCCGTCGTGTGGTGGCGCGTTCTGTACTCGGCTTGCGGTTGGTAAGCAAGTAGAAACACAGCGGGCCGATCATGTTTTGCGCCAATTGCCTACACAACATTCATGTGTCGTCTTCTTGCAATCGTCGCGTCCTTCACGACTCACGACGAGCTTCGGTCCTTGCAAGACAAGCTCGAAATCAAAATTTAGATGAGCGCCCCGTGTCCGATTGACGGGGGGGGGAGGGGTCGTACGACTAGTGGCGCATCCTACGGTTGGGAGGCGAGCGGGTGCATTGTGATCAACTGTGTCCTCGCAATGAGCTAACTCGTGTCCAAAGCGGCGGCATAACTACGACGACAGACGCGGAATCAATGGTGGTGTACCTCGGGGTCTCTTCCATCAAGTAGAGCAAGTTGTCAAGTGGTATACGTATTCGCGACACAAACACATCTAGCACTGCTACCGATTGATGCGCTTGAAACTTATCAGCGCCCTCTCCACCGCAAAACTATGCGGGACAACGTACCATCCGAGGTGCACCACCAGCACTGCGATGCATATACCTTGCATCCGACACCCCCCTGCCCCCTTCCCTTCGACAGGCGCAAGCACGTACGATACGCTCATCCATATCTTGCGACAGACCCAGCATCAGAAACAACAGAGAGAGGCGACGGCACGAGGACACACGCCGCCCCGCTCGAAAAACGATGAACCCCAAACATACGTTAATGTCAAATACCGTGAGCTTGGGAGTAGCAACGTCGACGATGTTCGTCGCCATGCTTCTTCGGCTTGCTTCGACAATAAATATGTGCCATTCGGGTCGATTTGAGACCCCAAGCTACCCAGAACAAAAAGCACAACTTGCGGGGATTCCGCCAGACAACAACAAAAACACGGGATTGGCGCGCGTCCAAGCAACAGGCGTGGTCGCTCCGTATTCAAATTAGGCAGCTAGTGTCGTTTCTATTGCCCGGCTCGCATGCTGCCGGCAGCAACAACGTATCAAGGCTTGAATGTCGACCTCGTCACGGTTCTTCGCTTGTACGGGTGGACATACATAAAGCACGAATAAGAACGCCTGGAGGGGGAACGGAACCCATGAGACAGAAAACAAGCAAGAACTCGAAAAGACACGCGGGAAAAGGCACAAATCGAGATGAACTAGCAGCGAAATCGACTGGTGGCGGGGGGGCGGGGGGGTCGCGCAACAATACTCCAGGGTAAGGCAGCGAGGAAGTCCTCTCGCACATCAATCAATTCTTTGGCGACAACCAACATGTTTAGCTCGTCCCATTTTCAGCCCTGGCACCCCTGCTTCTGTGCCAAGTCTTCAGGCGGAATCCTCACCACAGCACTAGTTTAGTGGCCAACGCCTGGCGTGAAGAATCGGACAGCTGCGGTAAGCTCGTGAAAAGGACACCGTTCCGACCTCTCTTCCTGTGATTGAAACGCCAAACGCAGTACGCAGTCCAGCGGAGAAGAGCACAAAGATGGCGGTTGGTCAGAGCACGCCTATCAACAGAATGACGTGGGATCATTCCATCTTTCCAAGTACGCAAGATAAACAGAAGGGCTTACATGCCCTTGCCAGTAGCCCAGGCCATGAGAGTAGAGATCCCGAGTGTTTCATTTGGAACTGTAACTTGTATGCAGAAGAGCCATGGGTTGCACCGCCAGTGGTGTGCACAGGACAACAGGTTTGACCGGGCAGTCGACTCGACCCATCCTCTAGAGAGTTCTGAATGGCATGCTTAGCTATACCATTCCCACGATAGTTTCCTTGCAGGCTACCCGCAAGAGCACATCACACACACAGACGGACATATGATCGAAAGAAAGAGGAAGGTACAGTAGAAGAATAGTTGGCTCTAGCTGCCGACAGGCCAAAGCGATCTCGGGCACCTGACAACTGATCGGTCCTGACCGTGGTAGACATTTCTTGTTCGGTCGCCACTACTGCTGTTTAAGCGATGAAGCGAAGCGATCGAGGATAAATGACATCTGCAAGTCCCGTGCTTGTTTTGCACGGGCACGCTCACGAGAAGAACACGTAATTCATCTTCGGTTCGATGGAACCCAAGCAAAATCATCAGGGGAGCGGAAACAAGCCTCTCCTCTCTTGTACCTACCTCACAGAAAGCCTACCACCAAACGGAATAAGCCGTCAGCCTCCAGTCCGACCAGCCTGGTGACCAAACCCCTTAAGTCCACCATCATCTGGTCTTCCGTCTCCCTCTCACCCCCACCCGAGTCCTCGCCGCTGAACCTCGCCAGCTTGGTGGAGTTACCGTTGCTGCTGCTGCTGCTGCCGACACTGCTGCCGCTCCTATTTTCGTTTGCAATCTTCACCCTGGTCGGGCAGGAACGGCTCAGCACCAGCCAGCTGCGGCGACGCCACGACCTGTCGGCTGGAGCGCGTGCCAACATTTGGTGAATGCGCTGGCCGTCGGCCTCGATGTCACCATGGTCGCTACCGACATCGCCCGACGTTCCTATCATGTCTGCAGGGGTTACATCGCCATCGTCCGTGAGCTTCTCATCTGCTCCCCAACGCAACAGAAGCTCCACAGCCGCCACACTCGAATATGTGCAAGCTTCATGCAGTGGTGTCCGGTCCTCAATGTCACGCACATTGACATCCGCCCCTCCTTCCAACAGGGCGCGGATCGTGCCGGTCGATGGTACCCGACCACAAACGGCAATATGGAGAGGCGCACAGCGCAAGTGGTCGTCGGTAGTCTTGGCGTGGACATCAGCCCCAGCTGCCAAGAGTACACGGACGGCATCGCCCTTGTCACGGCCATGTACTTCAATGAGTGCAGCATGGTGTAGGGCTGTGTATCCGTAATGATCGGTGGCGTTGACTAGACTAGTGTCCGTGTCTAGGAAGGCTTTCACGATGGTCGCGTGACCTCTGTTTGCAGCGATCTCAAGCGGAGAATCGTCACCGTTGTGGGTACGGCCCCGGGTGGCACCGGCAGCTAGAAGCTCTTCGACAGCTCCGAGGTGGTTGTTTTCTGCCGCCTTGAACAGTGGCGTTTTATTTCCCTTATCGCTCACGTCCTTGTCTGCGCCGCCCAGCAAAAGTTCAGCGATGCATAGCTTATGGCCCTTGGAAGCAGCGAGATGGAGGGACGTGTCGCCGGCACGCGTCTTGGCGTCTACATCGGCCCCTTTCAGAAGAAGGATACCTATGACTCGGTCGTGCCCTGCTGTGGCGGCGAGGTGGAGCGGACTTTGTTTCCTGCCACCACGCAGGTTCGGATTTGCTCCAGCTATCATGAGCGCCTTGGAGGCCTCCTCTGCACCCCGCGCCGCCGCAAGGTGAAGAGCGGACTCGCGTTTAGCCCCGAAGAGGACGTTTACATCACTCTTCGCACCCGCGGTGAGCAGAGCCCGTAAGATCTTCTTGTTTTTGCTGCATGCAGCCGCGCCCAGCAGCGTTCGTCCATCGCAACCCCGCCAGCCTGCTTCCGCGCTGGCACCGGCGTCCATCAGCCTTGTGAAGAGACCCAAGTTTCCGCTGGCCGCGGCGTGCTCGAGCGGTGCTCGAAGCCACTCCTTCCACTGCTTCGAGGTCGCCTCTCTTTGGACGAGCTTGAAAATCTCCACCTCAAAGCCATCGACACGAGTTCGATCTTGAGATTGTTGTGAAGCAGCTGCTGATGCCATCTTTGCTCCGCCTGGTCTGCCTGCTGTGCTTACAATATGTGAACACCTGCTGTACACTCTGTCTGTTGCGGTGCTCTCTGTGTTGTGCAACAATTTTGAATTTATTCGCTCCGTGCGATGTATGTACGGCGTACCTGTAGGCTGTAGGGGTCGTGAGAGTAGTCTTCCTGTCTGCGGACCCCCCTTGTCCGTCCCTCTCTGTCTCTCTCTGTCGTGGCCTGTCATCCAACTTTTCTGTCTCTCATCTCAGTCCGCGGACCCGAACAACGCAAGGCAGCCCCCCTATTGTTGAGGCAGGGAAGTGGAGAGGGAGGAGGAGCCTCGCGGAACGCATTACCCGTCGGTGGCTTCTTCTACGACTGCAGCACGCTCACACAGGTGTGAGCTATACAACGTGTCTTGCCACACGTGCTGTGAACACCGCGGTGTCGTACAATAGGCAGCCGAGGTACTGCTGTCGGATTGATGATGTAGCCAGGACAGGTTGTGCCGCATGTTCGACTGCTGCTCGGAGTTCCTTTTAGGTCCTATACTTGTAATGGCACCCGTTTACAGCACACCGTGGTAGATTGTACTGTACGGCCCTGGCACCTGCCAAGCCGTTCTTGGCCGCGGCACCTTCTCAAGGTACATGCATAGAACAAAAGGGCCACCACCATCACTACTGCATACGCACACCGAAGACAACGGCAATATGTTGTACCTGATTCCATCTCTGCTACTGCTGTGCAGCAGCAGTACTGTAGCACACCCACCACCACCCAGCACGCTCTCTACACAGGACTGGCCGTCGCAAGTGGGTCATTGCATTTTCTCTCTTTGTTGCACCTCACTCCTACGCTACAAGATGTGGCTTGTCCCACAGCCATGTTGTGGAATACAAGCAAGAAGGAAGAAAGATCGTATCCCCCCCCCCGCCCTGAGGAGTCAATTGGCTGAGGAGTTGAGGACGCGAGAATATATGCTCTCTGTTCACCAACAGCAACAGCGGCAGTGTTCTATGCATACAAGGGCGGTTAGCAAAGCGTACGTTTGTTGCCCATGTACATGGCGCTTGGGGTTTGACCAGCGGGCGTCTGGCTTTGTTTGCCATGTAGTCTATCTCCGTCCGCACAGAGACCTGTTTACAGCTGTAGTTTACGCACCACACCAGCACACCTTCTTCGGTGTTGCACCCTATGGAAACAGCAGTTGACGTTTTGTTCCATGACAACGAAAGCGCCAGCACAGCAGCAGTGCCCTAAACAAACCCTCGTACAGCAGTACAATAATTGACATGATGTAAGATACCACACACCCTGGACCGATTCTCCAACCTCGAGTGCTCAACGACGAAGAGGATGCATCGAAACCTCTCCATGAGACGGTTCTCACACCGCTCCTTTTGGCACCGCTGCTGCTGTACTGCTGTGTCCTGAGGAGCAATCGAGCTTTGGAATTGATCCAAAGGGGCTGTGATATCTCGTGTCACCTGTGCATTGTACGGTGTTCTACTTCATAGATCTGGGATTTGAGTTTTTTTTGCTGTTTTGGAGCAGCTCACGCTGCAGCAGCAATGTTGACCCAAGATTTCTAGCACAAGAAGGTGCGTCAAACTGCTGCAACGCGATCTACAGTAGTCTATTGTCAATAACCGTGCTCCCGTACGCCAGCGTTTCAGCAAAGTCTGGGTAGAGGCTCCGTGAGGAAAATAAAATGCGTGTGTAGGTACGTATGCATACGTAACTGAGTTCGTTGTGAGCCGCCGCTGTTAACCTATTGCTACTCGCGTTGAAGACAGGCAGACAGACTGCGGGTTAATTTCTAGGAGGCCTTTTCAGATGCATTCCATGATGAGATGATGAGCGATCCATGATATGGCGGTGTGATCGAATTTTGCTATAAATTAACTTGCTGTAGCGATTGGATTGGCGATGAGTTCGAGATTGTTTTCTGTGTGCGACGTGTCAAAATGACCTAATGTTTTGTGATGTAATATAGCAAATGGCGTGGACACTTTTTTATACTCATACCGACGGTGACACCTCTCGAAAGTTTACCACCTAAAGAGCTGTCGCAACAGCAACCGATGGGGATGGTGCAGAGACGTTCGAGTCGAAAGCAATCCACTACAAGTATCACGGCGTAGAAACTGCTGCAGACAGCTGCAGACAGCGCCAGCACTTAGTCGGCAGCTAAGAACTTAACAACATGTTCAACACTTTTCAACCATAAGAACTCGAGCACCATCCGTGATCTTGGGTAAGAACCCCCTACACTAAGATCTACTTACATAGAGACAGACCAATTGGTAAACAACAAGAGAAAACAAGACCCCGCCTCGCCCAGAACTAAAGAATCGAAAGTGCTCACGAGAGCTTTTTCAGCTATTTTTCGCTTTCACCCGCAAAGTTTTGGAAATTTTTCACCCCGTGGGGATTCGAACGAACTCACGACCTGTGCGACTAGCGGCTTCGAGGTTCCCACTAGACCACCGGGGTGACCGTAGCACCCACTAATACTCTACTAACTAATCCCGTAATCCTCCACGGCAACCTTGCGTACAGGCGTGATTTTCCGTGGGATTCAAGAGCCAGGAGAAGGCGTCCGTCTTGATTGTCCAGCGACACGGATCGAAGAAGGCGCGGGCGGGGGCCATCGATCTGCCTGTCTGGCAGTCGCACTCTCAGGCCTCTCTTCAGCGGGGTTCAAGAGCATCAGGAGAGAGGCCCACTCTTTCGCCCTCCTTCTTCTTCTTCGCCGTCACCTTTCGGAACAATTATTCCCTTCTTCTTACTCGCCGTCACCTTTCGGAACAATTTTTCCATTCTTCTTCCTCGCCGTCACCTCTCGGAACAACTTTTCCCTTCTTCTTCCTCGCCGTCACCTCTCGGAACAATTTTTCCCAGAAGGATTATTTGTAATTATAATTTGAGGACCGCATGTCTAAAACAAATGGGGGCACATGCTCCCGGCAGCAACCCAAGCGGGGGGAAAGAAGACCGCTGATTGGCCGCTGCCCGGTTCAGTCCATGGCGCGGGTGGCCGGGCTATTCTTTCAGCTGGCGCTGCTGTTCGCAATAGCAGCTGTTCGGGTGGTTGGTGAGGACGGACAGATGGACGGGACGCTCATGTTTCTTCATGTTTGGAAGTGTGGGGGAACGACGCTGCGAGAGCTCATGTGCGACTGGGCGAACAGTGAGGGTCTTCCCTGTGCGACAGTCGCGGGCTGCCGCCATTTGTCCCTCAAGGTGCGTGGGAAGCGCTTGCATTGGCGGTGGTGGATGTTGTCATGTGACAGAGAATGTGCGCAATTTATTTCGCGTTTATTGTCGAATCAGCTAATAGCCGTTCTTCGGGTGCCGGCGGGCGATACGTTAGAATCAAGCTAGCCTCGGTGTGTTGTTTTCTCTCCGCTTGACAGAGAAGCAACCGTCTGGCTGCTGACAAGTCGGCCGTACTACCGTGTGGCATGTGGTTTGTCGATGCCGTCCGTCCGTGGGTGTGTAGATCGTGTAGATCGTTCGCGGTCTCTGCCGGCGCTTCATCATTGGCCATGTTTGATCTTCCCCTTCCTCTTCCTAAGTTGCCCAACAAATGTGTCCTCCTTGTATGTACACCATGGTAGGCACAAAACGAAACGTAGAGCGGCAGCAGGTACGGTTTGCGGGGCCCCTTTCCGGCCTCTGACGGTTTTTTGTGATCGAGTCGTGGTGTAGACTATCCCACAAATGTCGAGTTATTTCATAGACCACGAGAATGTGCTTGCATATTCTTACCATACACATAGGTTGCCCAACGATTGTGCCCTCGAATTTCATTGTATATATGCAAACGTCTTTGTCAACCACAACGGACGGTGTACAACGGCGGCAGATGTGTACGGATTTACGAAACCGCCGTTTCATTGTTTACCGTGCATCTGTGTTCAACCACCGCGACAGGAGCGAAAGATTTGCCTGTTGAACCACAAGCTAATCTTCCCCGAGCAACAGGGCGAGTTCATCGCCAGCCAGAAGGTGCTCGCTGGACACTTTCGATGGGGTGAGTCCCGAGTCACACCTGTGTGCCACACGGTTACGAGAACCTTATTCGCTAGCGGTAAATACGAGGGAGAGGGGAGGCACCGGTTTTGTCGTAGGGGCAGGGAACACTCAAGATGCACGTGAGGCGATCGCGGACTCAGGCGGGGGATTCGTCGAAGAGCCAGCAGAGTACTGTACGCTGGTGAAATTTGCGCCAGGTTGAACGGAAGCACCTGGGAAGGCGCACTAGAGCGCAACGAAAGCTGCTGTGCGCCCTTCCGACAACGCTGCATACAGCAATACCATACAGTACAGCTGTCACGGGTTTTTTTGTGTCTTTCGATCGCCCTGGTCGACTCGGTTGCTCCCACTACTGTACACCTTTTCAGTTCAGCAGTACCGGCCCGGTTTAAGAAAGGAGTACTTGAATAATTGATGAAGGGGACGCTGAGATTTCAGAAATACGAAGAAAATGTCGAGAGTATGGAAGGGACGAGTTCCGCCCTACAACGTACCATACGTGGTGAGCCTCCCTACCATATAATGCTCTGCCCAACTCGCCCCACATCGGAATTGTCACGCTGAGGCTGATTTTGGTGGTTTCACAGTTGATCTGGCTGATACTGCTCTTTAATTCAACGCCTGTTATGCGTTTGGACCATACACGTGTTTCTATCGTCACAGAAACTACCGACGAGGGTACCGTACCCGCAGTCAGGAGCTACGCTAGGCGTTGCAGCACCAACCAGACAGGCGCACACACCCTCCCGACAAGCTTGCCCGGCTCCACCTCAACACCCCCGCCCCCCGTTGTGCTGTGCAACAAAAAACTAAACGACGATGTGTCTTTTTTGTTGTGTGTGTCAGGCTTTCAGGTGTACGCTGCAGAGCCGCACCGGCTCGTAACGACGCTCCGCAACCCACTCGAGCTCTTCGTCTCCGGCGAGCAGTACCTCAACCGTGCAACGACAACCACGCTTAGCAACGCCGTGCAGGTGGTCGAGAGAGCCATGCGGAAGTCTCTCGAGACCCCGACGCAGCCGCCGGGTTACTTGCACCGGCTGGTGGGACGCAGCGTCGTGACCAACGCGGAGATACGCGAGGCGACGGTGGAAGGGGCGAGAAATCTCAACACGTTCTGGCTGGTGGGTGTGGTGGAGCAGTACGGCGGCTTCGTGGCGGTGCTTCGGGCCCTTCTCGACCCCGACGGGCTCCACGATGACCTTTGGAGGCCGCAGCTGGAGGAGCACAAGCTGAACGCCTCGCCCGTGCGGTCGACGAACGTCCTGGCGAGCCTGGACCCCCAGCTGGTGAAGCAGTTCAACTCGACGCTGAGTTACCAGTGGTTGATGTACGGACACGCAGTGCGCTTGTTCAAGGCCAGGTGTCAGGAAGTCTTGCCCGAATATCAGCACTGGGAGTTCTGCAGCGTACAGCAACCTCCCGTCGAATACACCAGTTGAGGAGTGAGTGTTGGGATCTTTGGTTTCCAGGTTTTGGCGCATTTTCTTAATACTGTAGATGTCGCCCTAGACTAGCGCCGCGTTTGTTGCCGTGCATCGATGTGTCCATCCATGCTTTAATGCTCCAACGGGCGCCCTGTGTAAAATATGTTCCTTTCTCATGTCTCTCCTCGTATGCGTAGAGCTTCCCGTTATTCCTTCATCCATGCAGATTATTGTAATGTTCGGTTATATATTGTTGTTGTCAGTCAAGTCAGGTCAACGTGCTCGTCACCCACATCCAACTGTTGTTGCACATACCACCAACTGTTGTTTTAGGAAGTTTTGCTGTTGATGTTTTGCTGTTGTTGTTGTTCTTGTTGTTGTTGCTGCTGCGCCAAATTCGTTGGTAACTGAAAGTGATGATATGTATCGAAAGGTTTTGAGTGTGGCTGCTGTAGCTGCTGTGACCAGCGTGCACGACGGTATAGCGTCTAGCATCTATTTATCTCATCGTGGCGTGATCGCACATTCGAGTGGTCGGGCCTATAGAGAGGCTGTTGTAGCGCGCTCCCGACGTGTCTGCGGCGTTGATGTTAAAAATCGTCCGTCCGTGAAAAACTGAATCTTGGTAACTCTGTTAGCGGTTGGCGGTTGATTTCGACGTACACCGTTACTTTTGGAGTAGAAACAGTGGGTGGTATAAATATTGAAATCTGAAGAGTTTTCAAGGAATATGGAAGCCAAGGAGTGGGTGGCGGCTGATAATGTATTTTTTCTTCCCTGCCGGGGGGTCTCCGACAGGAGTTGTCCCCACGAGGGGGGGGGGGGGGGTCTTGGTCAAAGATGGGGCTGTGATTGTGGCTGGCACTGGCTTCTTTTACCAGGAAAGCTAGGCTATCGCTACTCGGCCGAGGTGTTGCCGGCTATCGTCGAGATGGGTTCAGCAGACTGTGCATCATGCATGCGGTTCCTTCCATGTCGTGCTTGGTCGCACCAGAAAGTCGTTATCATCTTCTGGCGCCATCGATCGTGGCCTGTCATACATGTACCGGTGCTGTGTCAGTTGTCCAGCAAGCAGTGCACTGTCTCTCAGTCGTGCTGGGAGGGACACGCGGGCAGAACTACATGTGTACATTTTTTGTCCTGTCCGTTGGAACGCACCACCATCGACCCAACCACCACGCCCGCAACTATGATACTACTACTGCTGTAGAAGCACCGTACAATGGTTTCGTCGGAACTTGCATGTGAGTGGGTAGGCACCCGCAATGTACAAGGTTACGGTCGACGAGGGAAATTCTCGGAGAAACCACAAAGAACCGCGTTCTATTATTTTCACGTGTCGCGCGGGACGCCCTGGATCGGTACACATACAACCTGTTTCCTGTGTACGGCGGTATGGTACAGCAGTAGCACGAAAAGGCGAAAGGCGGCTCAAGAGGGGCACAACTAGCGACGGATGCCGCTTCGTGGTAAAGTTCTTCCCTTCACATACGTGAAAGGTGGGAAAAGTGGACGTACAAAAGCGTCATCCAAAAGAGAAACACACGTCAAACACGCGCGCGCGAATGGTTTGTACAGAGATTTGTGTTGGCACTCGCACTCAGCGCGTTGTGCATTTAATCTTTCGATCGAAAGTGTGGCCCCCATTCCGGTTACCACCTGATTTTACCCGCTGGCACTGACGCCTTTTCCTTGGCCCGCCGGTTACAGCGTGCTAATCTCAAACAACACACACGCGTTACGCGGCGGACATGGATGCAACGATATAACCCCCGGTGCGGACACGCCCACCCGCGAGTGCAAAACAAAGCACATCATCCCTTGCCCGAGCTTCGAAGCGCTCTGCGGGTAGACGGGTAGATACGGCGAGTGAATACGAACCATGGTATGCACATGTTTGTTTGGTCACCGTCCTCTTCTTGTTGCCCGCATCCGACACACCACCAGTTGTTGGTTGAGCGTTTGAGAATCAAGGACGCGCATTGCACAATACCCTGTGTCAGATGGCGACACTGCACGGAAGTACACACATATATGTCCTCATGTCCCCGCCTGCGGTCCTCGGCAGGTAGGTGTGGAACAACTGCCATGCCACGCAAGCGTACATACCGGAATTGCACGACATCAGGGAAGCAAACACCAACACGTGAAGCAAAACTTGCATCTGTTCGTCTGTTCTTCTTGCCCCTTTCCATAAGTTCGGCGAATCAATCTCCCCAATCTCAACTCAATCGTCACACAAAAACCTTTCGTAGCTGCACGGCAAATGTTACCTGAAAAATAATCCCATGTAACACAGAATACTCACCTCACTCTGATACACTATACGTGCTTTTGCCGTTGTCACCACCCCCCGCTGCCAAAGCCGCGCCAAAGCGATGCATGCATATGATAAAAACGTCCGTTGCCTCGTGACTTAAACAGCAAGTGTCTCGAACTGCAATCGACGCGATCAGTCTTAACTAACGAAATAAACATCCTCTCTTGGCAGCGGGGAGTACACCAGCGAAGGATAGCTGCAGATGCCGAAACATCCGACTGAGGTCCCTCCCGGGCAAGCAACGCCCACCCACCCCCAAACAATGTAAACTGTTTCGCGCTCAACCGGAACACTTGGAGGGGTCACCAAACCGCCCTCCCTCCTCTCATGCGTGCCGCACAGGTCGAAGAGCGCCATTTCGAGGCCGACTCAGTGCTTCCTCTTTTTGCTCTTGCTGGTCTTCTTCTTTTCCTTCCTGCCGCTCCCGCTCCCGCCGCCGCCGTCACCGTCCCGGTTGCTGCCGTCGCGCTGCCTGTCGCCTCTCGACTTCTTGCTGTTCTTGCTGTCGCGCGAGGACCGAGAACGAATGTCCTCATCGGACGGGTGTTCCCTGCCGCCACCGCCGCCGCGCGCATCACGGTGACCACCACCGCCACCACGGCCACCACCGCCGCCGCCGCCCCTGTCCTGGCCAACGTCCATCACCGCCCCCGAACGCCCACCCCTCCCCCTACCGCGGGCTTCGTACGCTGCCGGCCTGTCCGGCACCTCGTGAGACGGCATCTGCATCCTTCCGCCGCCGCCGCCGCCGCCCCCTCCATGCCTAACGTCATCGTGATAGCGCCCGCTGCTGCTGTTGGCATCATTGGGTGCGGCGGGCCCCTCCCGCTCCCATGTTCCACCGCCGCTGCCGCCGCCGCCGCCGCCATACCCCCTACCCCAGCGATCCGCCGAAGATTTCGCGGAGCCCCTTCTCCCGCCGCCGCCCTCCGGATGCGGCATCATCGCCTGGTCCGGCTGCCGCATGCGCTTGCTGTCGAAGGCCTGGCTAGGGTCCCCCTCGGCGCTGCCCGGACCGTCGTACCCGCCGCCGTCTCTGCCGCCGCTTCGCTCAGGCTCGGCGCTGCGTCCCCTCTTGCTTCCGCGGGAGCCGGCACCACCACCGCTGCGGCTAGATTCGGCCGTCGTCCGTTGCCCCCCCCCCGCACGCGCGGGGCCTTCGAATCGCACCCCCCCGGCATCGCCACCGCCACCGCCACTGGGAGCATCTCGGGCGTCTTCGTCCACCCGTCGGGCATGGCCACCGTGACGACTTGTTGTTTCCCGCCCGCCGGGGCGATCGTGCTCGCTCTGTTGAGCCCCGCCGCTGCCGCGGCCGTTGGCCAAGCGGCTGTTGCTATTGGTTCGCGACATACTGCCGACGGCGGCACCCCCTCCTCCCCCACCTCCCCCTCCTCGAGAGTCACGGTTGCGACGGACGGAGAGAGTGCCACTGCCACTGCCGGAATCGCGTGGGGCTACCGGACCTTCCATGTCCATGTCCTGGGAAGCCAAGGCCTGCACGAAAAAAAAGTCCAGTGAAGAAAAAACAAGTACAAGCCATCGAGTGGGAGGCGTCAAGCGGGATGTAGGAATATCAACTGAGTTACGGGTGTCTGCAAAAAATAGAGGACAGAAAAGCGAACAACCAACGTCAATACTGCTGCGCCCAGCTAATCAAATAAGCGTGTCCGCCCCGTGACGAAACCGAACAAGGCGAAGCCGTGGGTCAGGAACAAACTATGGCGATATGCGCATATACACAAACTTTGAATTAATCACGTTGCCGGCATGAACGTTTCTGCTGTGACTCCAAAAACAAATCATTCTTTAAAGGTGTAACATGGTGACGCTCACCACAAACATGTTAATTGCAAAAAGTAGTTTTCAGCTTTCAAGGTAAACATGTACCACTGATGCATAAATTTTTGAATAATACACTAAGTACAAAGTTCAATGGTCCTAATGCATACTGGATTGATTTGCTGGGGCGACACACAACACAATATACACACCAAGAGTTTCGTCCGTGGTCTCTCTACTCTCCACCCTCCATGACCATGATACACATCACAATATCACAACACATGATACACGTCACGTACCTTGGCGCGAGAGTCGGCATCGCTCGTCCTCCCTGACTTGTCCCGCCTCTCCCTGTCCCCCTCGCCCTGTCCCCTAGACCTCCTCCCCGTATCCTTGCTATCAACGCCGTTGCTGCTGCTGCCGCCACCACCGCCATCACCGGTAGAGCTGGAAGCCCTGACAACACGCCCGCCACGTGAAGAGCCGGTGGTGGTGCCAGACCCCGAAGTAGACGCGACTTTGGGGTCCACCTTGCTGCCGCTAGGCTCACGGCCACCGGTGGCCCGAGCGCTGGCAGACGACTGCCTGGACGAAGCCCCCGTTGCCGCCGCCGGGGCCCCCGAGGCTGCCGATGAAGGTTTGGAGGTGGACGAAGTCGTCGAAGGCTTTGAGTTGCCCCCCGTTTTCGAAGCGGCTTCGGAGGAGGAGTTGTTAGAGGAGGAGGCTGTTGCCGGCTTTCGAAGGGGTTTCGAATCTCTAGGCGTTGCCAGCGCGTGTTTTCCCTGGAGAGAAGGAGTCAGGGGGGGGGGGGTCTCGTCGGGCGGTACACTAAAGCATATTGTCTTTGAGGTGTCGTCGGACACTATCGTTGTAACGAGCGTGGCGGCCATGCGAAAGCAAGCTCAACACTACTTTTGGCGCAACCAATACCCGATCGTGCAGCTAGCTCTCCAATCTTAAGGCATAAATAAAAAGCAGAAAGTCTCACCTGCCCCCCTCCCGCCGAAGAGGCAGCCGGCGCCTTCTTCTCAGACACGATCTCTCCCAGCTCTTGCTCGCCTACGGCAACGGCAACGGCAACGGCCACCCTAGCCGTCTTAGCCGGCTTCAGCCTGGCCGACTCTCCACCTTCCCGCGCCCTCTTCGCCACCCCCGGTGCTGTCGTCGTCGTCGTCGCCGCCGCCGCCGCAGAAGAAGCAGAAGAAGCCGGCTCTTTCTTGGCAACCTGGCCACCGCCGACAGTACTGCTGTTCGCCTGCTGCCTCTTGCCAGCCTGACTGCCCGACTGCTTGGTTGCTGCCGAGGAAGCGGAAGAAGACCCGCCGCGGCCGGATGCGGCGGGAGCTGGGACGTAGGGCTTAGCGGTCGCGGAAAGAGCGGACGCCTTGCCGACGGCTGCTGCTGATCCCGGGGCTGTAGTGCTCTTCCCCCGGCTGGTCTGGCTGCCGCCGCCTGCTGTTGATTTGCCGGAGGTAGTGGTGGTGCTGACAGGAGCGATTTTTCTGAGAACGGAGATTGGAAGGGGGGTGGGGGGGGGGGGGGGTACTCCTAGTCCTGCATGTCGGAATCGTTAGACCCTTGGGGGGTGGGGGGGGGGGGGGGGGGGGC